GGATTGCATACTGGCTACAAGCACAGGCCCTGGATGGCTCGGCCACTTGTTACCCGTGTGAACTTGGGCTCATCCCTGAACTAACCTCCTCTCAATCTCAGTTTCCTCATCTGTAAATTGGAAATGATAAGGGGATCCACTTCAGAAGGTTGCTGTGAGGATTAAATAAAATAATCCATAATAAACATTTTACACAAGTTTTAATGAGTATAAAGCACGTAGAATGATGCCTAGCACATAATATGATATTTCATAAACAGTAACTAACATAGTACAAGTTATAAACAGGATGATAGCATAAGTATATATATATGTTCTGAAGAAGGGCTGGATACATTTCAGAAAACAGCACTTGATTTTGACACTCTCAGACAAAGAGTTCACACTGTAATAGATCTTGGGATGGGGCTTACGCCAACTATTATCAACAAAGGTCCCTCTATCAAATCTCTCAGTGCCCTCGTTCACGTTAGCTGGTGTCCATGGCACCACTGTGCACAAATACACAACCGACATCTCCAAGGAGGGCAGCTCACAACAACAGTGGCATCTATCCTCCGTGGTGTCTTTTCCCTAAGGTTTTCTCTAATGAGGGTGTCAGAACTGCAAAAAGAGTATACAGGAGATGGGGAGAGAGGCTCACACAGTTGTAAGAGGACCATACAATTCCGTAAATATTTATTGAACATCTATTATGAGCCAGGAACCATCCCTCTCACGTTGCAACTTCACGGTGACTCTATAAACATGATTTTGCTCTTCTAGAATAAGCTTTCGTCTTACCTACAAGTTTACAGAGCTAACATTTGTGAACTGTCCTTTGAGAAACAAATTTAGCATGGTGGGTACCATTGCATTAGACCTGGCTGGAGTTACAACTGACAACTGAATCATTTCAGAGAGCTGGCGTGGGGCCCTTGAGACTGACAGAGTGGGCATGGGAAGCTCAGTCTATATATGGCAAGAATCTGAGATTATATTCAGCCAGAAGTGCAAGCCTCTCAGCATGGCCTTCGACGTCCTCCAACCTGGCTCCTTCTTCATCTCTCTCTGCTCTCCACACAGTCTCTAAGCCACCATCACCCCATCCTGCATATAAAACCGGGTCTCCCTGCCTTTGCTCCTATTCTGTATGGAATGCCATTTACCCACTCAACTCCCAGGCTGGACTGCAACTGTCTGTATGCATGTCTATCCCTGGAGGGCAAGGAGGGACTTGTCATGTCTATGCCACACCTGACCCAGGGTCCGCCAGTATCAGCCAGCAGGGAGCAGTGGGAAGGGCACAGAATGGGAGGCTGGTTTCAAGTGGAAACCTGTTTCAAATGCTAGCTCTGCCCCTTACCAGCTGTCGGACCTTGAATACGTTAACTTCTGTGTACTTCGATTTCCTCCCGCGTAAAATGGAGACAAAAGGGCATTTACTTTATTGGTTGTTGGGAGAATCAACTCCTTGGCTATATGTAAAGCACTTAGAAGAGTGCCTGGCATGGGGGAAGAGCTGTGGAAGGCTTCATCATAGTTGCTGTTCATTATCACTGTTACCGTTATTGTCATTAAGTGTGTGCAGAAAAGAGTAAAGTGGAGAAAGAAGGGAGATTGTGCCCTGCAGCTGAGCAAACGTCTGAACTCCCAAGCTGGCTCAGCGCTGCCCTGCTGAATAGCCCGATGGTGGAGCCCCTCACCACTCACTCGCAAAAGGAGACACAGAGCTTTCACACTGGTTGGTGCTCATAACCTTATTTCTTGCCTGGGCTGCTGCCCAACCCCTGCCAAAGCCAGCCAGCTAGGGACTCCCAAATCCTGCAGTGACAGCACAGCATGACATACAAGGGACACTGCAGCTCAGTTCCTTACAACCCAGCCCCCAGCAGACTTCCTGCTCCTAGAATATCAGTGCTGAGCGCTAGAGGTGACCTTTTCCAACAGCACCCCTGTAACAGATGGGGAAACTGAGGCCTGGGGAGGCTGTGCTTACATTTTGTTAGTACCCAGTTTACATATATGTTACTTGTCATGCAGCCAATTTTGTGGTAGGTACTAAGAATACCATGACCATTGTTTAAAGCTGGAAGGAATTTCAAAGTTTACCCAGTCTGGCACTTTTCAAACTCCACATTCTATGGTGTCAAGATGAGATGTGAGCTCTGTTGCAAGTCATTTATTCATTCATTTACGGATCACCCGCCATCTGCTGGGCATCAGGGACACAAGTCAGACACCACTCCTGTCCTCGGGACCTCACAGACGAATAGGGAAGCGTGACTATGTAAATAATCACATGTCTAATAGTAAAGTCTTGTTGTGAGTGAATTATGTTTTAAAATATACTAGAATGAGCATCTCCACTTACATGCCAACATGCTTTCTGAGCAGAACAGGCAGGACTGGGGCTGGAGGAGGCAGTTACAGGTAGCGCCGTGTAAACTGCTCACCCCACCGGGTTCACCTGTGCAAGGGCCACACATAGACTCACATTACCATTATGTGGCTACAGCAGTAAGGAGACTGGGAACCACCGACCCAACCCCATTTGACAGACAGGCAAACTGAGGCCTAAAGAATTTAACTCACTTGCCAAAGTAGCACAGCAGATAAACAGAAGACGCTTAAGATTCTGTAGTGGCTCATGTAGGCTTCCAAAAAAATCCACATTCCACAGTGCAGCACACGATCTGACCCCTGCTCACCCCTCCTGCCCCCTCTCTCACCATTCTGCCCCCCACTCTATGACTCAGCCCTACTGAGCTACCTGCGAAGCCCCAAATGCACCTCTGCTTGGTCCATCCCACTCCCTCGGCCAGGGAGCCAAAGTCGACGACCCCTAAATAATGCCAACTCATTCTCAGCACTCAGAACTCAGCTCAGGGCTCTCTCCTCCAGTACCTGGCCCTGACATGGCCCCCCTCTATCTCCTATTGCATGTATGCCTTTACAAAGAGAGAGAAACGCTCATCCCATAAGGTGTTCATCCAATCAACACCTCTATGTGCCGAGCACCTGAGGATACGGCAGTAAATAAAATAAAGGCCCCTGCCCTCATGGAGCTTACATTCTACTGAGGGAAACAGACAATAAACAATACAAAATATAATGTCACTAGAGTTCAGTGCTATGAAAAAAAAAATAAAGACAAGTGGAGGGATCTTGGGGGAAGGACTCTCCAAGGAAGTGGCATTTGATCAGAGATCTGAAGTAACAGAGTAAGCCATGCCAATAGCTGGGAAAAGAGCATTTCAAGAAGCAGTAGCAAAGGCCCTGTAACTACTGCAATGATTTCTTTACTTGTGTCTTACCTCCTACTGAACTTGGAGGTCCTTGAAGGCAAGGGTTACATCTTAAGCATCTTTGATTCGCAGGGCCCAGCATCCATAGTGGACACTACGGACACCTACGGAATGAGTGAATGAAGTCGGCCCAGCACGTGTGATTGCTGATTTCTGAGTCCGTGTGGCTCCATCACTTGAGATCTGGCCAGTTTTGCGTCTCTCTCCTCCCCAGGGCTAAGCTAAGCACAGGCTTGGGTCAATCAGCCTTCTTTAATTCTGTGGCCTGGTCTCAGTTCCTGGATCCTCCCTTCATTAGGACTATAGTACTGATAAGCTCTCCAGCTTTATCTTGTTCTGGTCCACATATCTCTGGTCTGGACCTGGGACCCTGTCCCAAAACCCAGACACCTAGTACTGGGAGCCTCCCTCACTCTCTCCAGGTTTCATAGGCATCAAAGTCCTCCCCTGAACCCCAAGCCCCAAGGCTGGGGGGCCCTGACCCCTGGAATCAGACTTCGCAATGGCTAACACTTCCCTACTTGGAAGTCTGCCCTGCCTGATTCTTGACTGCCCTCCAAACCACACGACCCCTTCTGCTGCGATATCAACCCTCTGACCTCATCAATCCTTTCTGTGACCATCTCTCTGCATGTTCCAACTTCATTAAACCATTCCTGAACTTCTACCATAGCTAAGACCCAGGGCTAAGGACCTGCGTCCTCGTGTTGCCTGCTACAGATCCTATACCATCAGCAGACCATCTGGGTCCAAGCCTCCAGATTCGACTACCCCAAACCACAATCCTGACACTCCCAAAAGCACATTCAATAACCTTAGGTGCTGCAAATAAAGTCAAATGGCTTTATCCACTCCGCCAACTGCAACAGATATCTCTGGATGTCACTGGTGCTTCATCCCAGCCCCCAACGGGTCTAAAATGAGTTCAGGGACAAATAACCCACTCCTTCATTCACCCTTTCACCCACCACTTCCTGACACCTGCTATAAGCCAAGCCTTGAAACATAAAACACAGTGCCTACACTGACGACAACGATGCTAATGGTGATGTGATGGTGATAGTGATGGTGGAAGAGAGAGAGGAGTAGGTGGTAAGGTTAGTTACCATTTATTGCACACTTGGGCTATACTACAATAAGCGGCGAGTCTTCTAATACTAAGAAAACTATGAGATAGGTTTTATTAGCCTCACTTTACAGAGAAGAAAATAGGCTGAAGAGGTGAAGGAACTTGCTCAAGGTCACAGAGCTAAGTGGCAGGGTGCTGAGACCCTAGTCTGCCTGCCTCCAAAGTACAAACGGTTCAACCGCCCCAAGGGTCACCCAGTAAATGCTAAACAAATATAACTTAAGGAAGAAGTGAAAGACAGAGAGAGGATCCAGGCCTCCGGGGACTCAAAAACTGGTGGAGGGGGCAGACATATAAACAAATATCTACCATGTGGGAAGGCCAGCGCTGATGGCTGGAGACCATGGAGCTGGAGCGGAGCTGCAGAGGAGCTAGAGGAGGGAGTGGCTAACTTGACCTGGAGGGGTCTAGAGCCGTCTTGAGGAAGTGACTTGGGGGCTAGGCTTTGAAGGATGAGCAGTTTGCGGCTGACAAGCGTGGCGCACAGCAGGAGCTCGGCCCTCAGACCTGGCCTGGGCCGTCCGTCTCCTCTGAGGTCGTCCAGTCCACCCCCCCTGTGCCCACGCGGCCGGGCCGGGCCTCACCTCCTTCCACTTGAGCTGGCGAATGCTGATCTTCAGGGCGTCCAGGGAGGTCCTGGCCTTGGAGCTGTCCACGGTGACAGGCCGCGGAGAGCAGTACTCCTCGGACCGGTCCGAGCTCCGCTTGCAGCTACGGCCCTTGCTCCTGGACTTCCCGTGCGGGTAGAAGCCCTGCGCCGACACCGGCTTCGCCTGGTACATGGGCAGCGTGGGCGGCGGCCGCGGTGGGACGCGGGCGTCGCCCTCCTCGGCCGCGCGGGGCTGCGCCGGGGCCGGCTCCTTGGGCTGCTCCTCCCCCGCCTTGCGCTCCGGCTCCCCGGCTGAGCCCGGGTCCACGCGGACCTGTTCCTTCGCCGCATGCGCTTTGGCCGCGGCCACGGCCTCCGCCTCCCACCAGGCCGCCAGCTCTCTCTCGGGTCTGCCCCGCAGCATGGTGCTCAGGGCCGGTGCCAGCGCCAGTGCTGCCGCCGCCGCCGCCGCTCCGCCGCCCCGGCCCCCGACCAAACTGCCGCCGCTGCCGCAGCTGCCACGCGCTCCCAGCCCGAGCCAGTTGCCATGATTTCTCAGGCTCCGGTTGACAAGGGCAGTCGCCGACTCGGGACGGGGCCCGGGAAGGGACAATCGCCGACCCAGCCCCGGCGACCTCATAGGCGAGGGTGCTCACGTGACCGTGCCTGTCGCAGAGGAGGCGGCCATCTTGGAAGAGGGCGGAAGTGGCCTCTGTCCGCCCAGCCGGACAACCCGCCGGCGTTCTGAGCCCGCGGAACTTGGAGGGGAGAGGCTGGAGGTGAGCTTGAGGGCAGAAAGCCGTTGGGCGCTTGCGGGGCTCGTGAGCCCAGGGGCTGGGCCGGAGAGACAACAATTTCAAACACGAAGCCCACTTTCCCCCACCCCGTACACACTCCTGGTTTAACTCCCGGTCTGTTGGAGGAGGCACAGCCTCACCCGTTCTAGGCAGCTCCACCATCAGGAAGCACCTCAATCTGATGATGGACATGACAAGTCCAAACTCTCAAGGATTAGCTCCCCGTTTGAAGAAATCCCTTTCTGGTCCTGCGAGAGCCCCAGACTGAGAGGGGAGACACGTTTCCCCGTTCTCAGGGAGCTCCCAATGGCATAGGGAGGCCGTGGAGAAGCCTGCAGATTCGCGGTTGAGTTGAGGACATTAACCAACCCTTTTCATATTGACATTTAAAAAATTATGGTAAGATACACATAACATAAAATGTATCATTTTAACCATTTTTAGGAATAGCCTTCAATGGCGTTAATACATTCGCATTGTTGTGCAACCATCACCACCATTCGTCTCCTGAACGTTTTCATCTTCTCAAACTGAAACTGTACCCATTAAACTCTTAACTCCCGTCCGCCCTCCCCCAGCCCGTGAACTACCCATTCTCCTTTCTGTCTATATGAATTGGATTAATTACCTCATAGAAGTGGAATCATACAATATTTGTCCCTTTGTGTCTAGCTTATTCACTCAGCCTAATGCCTTCATGGTTCATCCATGTTGAAGCATTATCAGAATTTCATTCCTTTGTAGGGCAGAATAACGTTCCATGGTGTGAATGGACCACATTGTATCAGTTCATCTGACAATGGACATTTGGGTTGTTTCCACCTGTTGGCTATTGCGAATGATGCTGCTATGAACGTGAGTACACAAATACCTATTTGAGTCCCTGCTCTCTATTCTTTTGGGTTGCCATATATTTTTAAAGCCAACACAAGGAGAGGGCTTTCCCTTCTCACCTTAGGGAACCATATTTGTTCTTTCGGGGAATGGGGTTGGGAGGATAGAGCACCCCACACTGAGGACAGTAGCTGTGACAGCCCACACTGGTGAACTTTGCCACACTCTGCAGATGAAATAATGATACAAGAGAGGAAAACGAGAGGAATCACAAGGCAGCATGCAGTTAAGTGTCAAATGAGGCAAAGGATAAAAAGAAAAATTAGGAGTTCCACGGATGGAGGATTTACTGTAAATTATAAAGCTAGATAAAACTTCATATAAGAGATAGAATATAAACTGAGTCTTCAAGATGGAGTAAGAATCAGCTAGATAGAAAGTAGGTGGGGGAACTTCCCTGATGGCTCAGTGGTTAAGAATCTGCCTGCCAATGCAGGGGACATGGGTTTGAGCCCTGGTCCGGGAAGATCCCACGTGCCGCGGAGCAACTAAGCCCGTGCGCCACAGCTACTGAGCCTGCTCTTTAAAGCCTGCGAGCCACAACTGCGGAGCCTGTGCTCCACAGCTACTGAAGCCCGTGCGCCTAGAGCCAGTGCTCTGCAACAAGAGAAGCCACCGCAATGAGAAGCCCGCGCACCGCAACGAAGAGTAGCCCCCACTCGCCACAACTAGAGAAAGCCTGCGTGCAGCAACAAAAACCCGACGCAGCCAAAAATAAAATAAATAAATAAATTTATAAAAAAAAAAGGAAAGAAAGTAGGTGGGGTGGTCATTCCAGAGGCTGTGGGCACGGCAGCGTGTACAGTCATGCAGTTGACCCATGGGGCCTGAAAGGGGCTGAAATCCAACTTGTACTCTGCCTGCCTAGCCTCACACATTGAGGCTTTGTCCACCAGAAAGGAGCACCTTTGCTGATTGGTTCAAAGGCGCCCAGGGCTGAAGGAAGCCCTGTACTGAGAGGGAGGTGAGGAAAAGGTACAGTACAAGTAAGTTTGAGAAGGGGATCAATTATGGTGATCAGCTTGAAATGTATAGAAATATCAAACCACTAAGTTCTGTACCAGGAACTAACACAGTGTTGTAATTCAGTTACACTTCAAAACAAACAAATTCATAGAAAAAGAGGACAGATTTGTGGTTACCAGAGGTGGGACGAGGGGAAAGGTAAAGGGTTTGGCGGAGGGGAAATTGGACGAAGGCAGTCAAAAGATAACAAACTTCCAGTTATAAGACAAATAAGTACTACGGATGTAACGTTCAACGTGACAAATATAATTAACACCAATGTATGTTATATATGAAAGTTGTTAAGAGGGTAAATCCTGAGTTCTCGTCACAAGAAAAAATTTTTTTTCTATTTCTTTAATTTTGTACCTATACAGGATGATGGATGTCCAGTAAACTTACTGTGATCAACACTTTGTGATGTATGTAAATCGGATCATTATGTTGTACACACCTTAAACTTATACACTGCTTATGTAAATTATATCAGTAAAACTGGAAGAAAAAAATAAAATTTATTAGTCCTGTAAAAAAGGGGGGATAATCATAAGGCTTTTCTAGCAGACTAGACTGGTGGAAACACAAGCCTTAGAGGAAGGGTGAACAGGAGGCGAGGCCCATTGGAGCTCCCTGTCAGGTCTTTGAATGCTGTGCTGACCTCTGACTTCTCAGGAAATTCTAAAATGTGCTGGTGGAAAATCCAACCCCACATGGGACTCCTCACAGGGGAGCTTAGTTACGGCTGTTGCGGAGCAAAGAGCAGGTGAGAATCAGGGACCAGGACCACCTCCCAAAATACACAAATGTATAAAGAAGTAGGTCTCACCTTTTCCTTCACGCACTCACCACAGCTTATAGTCAGAGTTTTACTTGTTTACTTATAACGGTCTGTCTCACCAGAGTCCAAGTGCCAAAAGTAAGGAGTGTCCTGTTCTAGTTGACCATATCCCAACACCCAGTCAGTGCCTGGTAGACAGTAGGCATTCAATAACCATTTCTTGAATGAATGAATTTGCTAATGAATGAATAAACAAACAAACGAATGAATAAATGAGCAAGCAAATGAATTAAAAATTAAGCTCAGATATTCAATAATAAGAAAATACATATGCAAATTATAGCAAATGTCAACGACAGCTTTAGCCGCTTAGGATAAACAGTATCCTGGTGATGTAACATTCGCGAACTGGTGCAAGCATAGTAACCACAACGCTTGAAGACTGTTCTGCATAAACAGGACCTGGGAGAAGATAGAGACAAGCGAGAACAGCTGTGGTGCTGGAGACATGCGATCTTGGTTGAAATTTTCCCTCTTGGTTTTGGCGAACTGTATCGACCTGGAGGCTCTTCCTACCTTTGGACCCAGAAATTCATCCCATTTCTAGAGGTTTCTGCTACGAGTCAGAAAGGCAGACTAAGCTTTCCGTGGTAACCTGATATCAGTCAGAAACCTCTCTGTCCCAGGCCCGTACTAAGCATTTTGCATACGTTGTGTCATTTAAGCTTCTCAGCGGCCCTGGGATAAATCCCGTTATTCGCCACATTTTACAGATGGTGAAGGAAATCGCTGCTCAGAGAAGAGAAGTCACTTGCTGGAGTCACACAGTTTGTAAAGGCAAAGACAGGATTCAGACTCAGGGTGATCTGACACTAGCACCCAGCTCCCAACACCCACACTACCCCTCACACCAAGCCCTTTGTTCACAAAAATAAGCCACGTATGTTTAAACATAACTGAGTCCATATATATGTATATGTATTTATACCTAAATATATGTACACCCTACTTCTCAGCGTATGTGGATTACATGAAAATTACATGCAGAGAAAATCTCTGGGTTCAAATATGCCAGTATATTAATAGTGGTTACTCTGGGTGATGGAATTGAGGGAGACAATTTTCCTTTAAACTTTTCCTTTAAACTTTTCTACAATGACCACGCATTGTTTTGATAACTGGAAAAATGTAATTTTTAAATAAAAAATGTTTCTTGATTGTTATTCTGTCACTTTTATAGCAAGTCCATTTCCGAGGAAAGGGACAGGAAGGGACAGGGGACGGGGTGTGGGCAGCTTTTACTCCCGTTGGTAGGTTCTGCCCTGTTAGCATCAGAGGACGCCACCAGGTGGCGCGTGAGGTCCGGTTTTTGAAGAGGCTGAAGGAGGATGAGGGGCAGGGGAGGTCCCCCGGCAACAAGCACCTGAATAGCACCCAGCAGCTCCCACCCCGCTCCACTCGCAACCACACACACTTTTGCACCTCGTAGGCTTTTGCCAATGTTTCTCGCTCTGCCTGGTGCATCCTCCCACTGGCCCCGTCTGCTAGGTGAGCTGTTTATTCTTAAGGCTCAGATCCAAAATCTCCTCTCCTTAGACAAGGTGTGATAGGGCTCCTGGGAGCACTGGAGCCCCTGGAGTGATCATTCTTAATGAGTGAGCAAAAGGCTCCATGTGCAGTTCTGAGTCAACTGTTTCTCAAATAGGTGGGATCTTTTTGAATGACAATAATAGCCATTCTTCACTGAGCACACCTGTATGTCAAGCCCTGTTGCGTATTCTAGCATTTTAATTCTCCCAAGCAACTCTCCAGGGAGAAAAGTACAATCTTCCTCACATGGCTGGGTTGGAGTTTGTGTTCTTCTTTGTGACCTCAGGCAAGTCTTATAACTCCTCTGGCCTCTAGTTTCCTCATCTGAAAAGTGGGGTGAAAATAGGGGCTTCCCTGGTGGCGCAGTGGTTGAGAGTCCGCCTGCCGATGCAGGGGACACGGGTTCGTGCCCCGGTCCGGGAGGATCCCACATGCCGTGGAGCGGCTGGGCCCGTGAGCCATGGCCGCTGAGCCTGCGCGTCCGGAGCCTGTGCTCCG